TTATGACAGAGTCCCTCTTAATCTCAATTTGGTTAATAAACATTTTAGGCAGATTTATGGGTAGGTAACGTTTTTTTTGAAGCGGGTGGGAAATGATCCATTTTATTTTATTAGTATTAAGAGTTTATTTGTAACACTTGAACCCAACTAGATATTTTTTTAGGTTCGTCATTCAGATTACAAAACAGTTTGCAGATGTCAGTATTAGAAAGGAATAGGTTAGTATCATCAGCGAACATAATTCTAAGTAGATTTGAAGCTTTATTTAAGTCATTAATGTAAATCAAGAATAAGAGGGGTCCCAATATAGAGCCTTGAGGAACATCGCAAGATATATCTAATAAACTTTTTTGGTAATCATCCTTACAAGAAACATTTATATTTGTTATTATTATTATTATTATTATTATTATTATTATTATTATTATTATTATTATTATTTATATTTGCTATTATTATTATAACATTTATATGTTATTGTTGTTATTGTATTGTACATGGTATTCTTTATATTTGTTATTATTATTATATTATATATGATATTATTAAACAATTTTATATTTATATTTTTTATTTATTACCCGGCAATAAATTACAAGTATAATAAATTATAATAAAATAGTCACCAATTAAATTAAAATTAGTTAAAACGACATGGCTCTCGCAGTTGTTAGCATTAAATGCTAATAACCAGCCGGAGTGTTTTCCACAAAGTATACGAAACAGACTTCTCGGAACATCCTCCTCCGTCAAAATTTTAAACTACTCTCTCTTTTCGTTCAAATTCCAAAACTGGAACGTTTCTTTCAATATTGATATAACATCAGCTTGTAGGTCTTTCATAGGTTGCGTGAATTTATTTATTTTTGCCATTTATTATGAGCTGGACGAAATTTAAATCAAATGTGTTGCGGGCTTTAAACAATTCATTTGTAAAAATGTTTGTTCACTTCAAAAAAAGTTTTATTCTGTATTGCTTTTAATTGATTGATTATCAGTGAATAGCAAGTTTAATTTTTCAAGAGCCCACAATGGACCAGAATTTACTTTTACTGGATAAAACTAATAGAACGTCTAATAAAAAAGATTTAAGAACCATTTTTGCGCTGTTTACTAATTTGAGGATTGCGTTTTTAACGGTGACATGTTTTAATTTTGGGTTGCTATGGATATCTAAATTGCTTAGCAACCACATATTTTATTACTTTAACAAATTTAAACTGGAAAAATTAATAACTTTATTGGATTTCTTCCATAATTTCCACATTGAATATTTTTATACTACAAATAGTAGTTTAAAAGTATTCAATCTAGTAGGTAGTAGGTAGCTAGTAGGTACTATGGATTTTTTATTTGGTTGATAGTGACACCTGAAATGTCTGACGCTTCATTTTGCATAGTTACTAGCTTGAGTAACTTTTCTTAAAGCATCAAAGTTATAACTAGACTAATATTAATGTGGCAGTCTGATTAAAAATTATTTTATGCATTTAAAAAATTCAACACGTTCCCAATTGCTAGTTTTAAGTAATTTTATGCAGTTCCCAGGCTCTATCTTTAGTTCCCAGGCTCTATCTTATATTTCATGAAACTACAACATAAACCAAGTAAAAATTTTGATTTAAAATTATTCGAATTAAAACTCATATATTCTGATAATTGTAAAACAGCTTTAGCTTCTTTTTCTTTACTTTATGGCGCAAACTACAACCGGGTGCAAACAATAGTTCTTAAGATGAATATAATACAACTAATTGCGTCAATCTTCCTTCATTTGTTTTACTACTTAAAGTGTTAAAATTCACCTGGGACTTGCCAAATACTACAGTTAGATAGGAGAAGAGTTTTCTTTATCAGTAGAAAGAGTAAGTAGAATTTTTTAATTATCAATTACAAATTGAACTGATATTCGTTCAATTGTTTGTGATTATCTTTAAAACAAATTTTAATCGAAGATGCTTTATAAAATTAGACATGTTATTATTTGTAGAGCTAGCAACTAGCTAGCGAATAGCTAGCTAGTCACTACTTATCGGTAAAAGACGCGTTTAAGACGTATAAAATAGCTAGTATTACGTCTTTTAAACATTTTAAACTTGTCTTGTGTCGACTAGCTATCTTTTCCCCACTGGGTAACTATAGTTATCCAGTGGGGAAAAGGTAGCTAGTCATTTATATAGTAATTTTTTAGTATAGTAATTTTAGTATAGTAATTTTTACTATAGTAAAAATTGTTAATAAAGACCGGGCGGACATCCGCGGATTATAAACCAAACTTATATTGATAATATACATATTGAATTATGTATTTCAAGTTTCAAATTACTTGACCGCTTCGGACCGCAAAAGTATTTGACTATATAAGTGAAATTTTAACTAAAAAAAGTACTTCAAATACTCCGTTTTTTGAAATCATTTTTTTTTTGACATGACTTATTTGCAACATAGTGTTGTAGTAGCTCATTTGAAAGATAAGATTTAAAGATTTAAAATTAACATATATTCCATGCTTATTAAAAGTCTAATTTCTTTCAAATTTTCACTGAAATGTCGAATCTAAAATGTATATTTTTTACATTAAAATATATTTTATTGTTGTATAGGGTAAAACACCCAGTGTTCGCCAGGTGTTCCAGTCGTCGCCAGTTTTCCATTAAAAAACATGCATGTCAAAAACTATTTGGTTGAAAGTGCCGAAATAGTGTCTAGAATGAACGCCCATCATTGCTTTATATTTGACGAAAGTTTGACGATCGTAACTAAATAAATAAACTCTCAGGATTTTTTTGAATGAAAGTGTGTCACAAAAAAACCTTAATCCTTAAAATTTTTTTTCAGAAATCTTTTTAAACAATTACATAAAAAACATATTAAATATCAATTCAATTTCACTTTTTTTATTCCAGATTGATGGGAAGAACAAGGAGAAGATTGTACCAGGGCTATTCTTGGAAAAAAATTAAGGGGGGCAGGGTTAGGGGGGGGGTGGCGAAGACTGGAACGCATAATAGTACCTAGTCCAGTCTTCGCCTGGTAAATTTTTTTTCTTTAAAGTGGCGTATATGGACTTAATGGTAAAATATGGACTTTGACCCATATGCCAGTCTTCGTTAGGTTGAATTTCGTTTAAAAACAAAAAAGTTATAGGCGTTTTAAATTTGTCCAGTGTTCGCCACCCCCCTTTTGCCAGTGTTCGCCATCGGGAACAAATTATTATTTTTTATTTTTTATTAAATGTATAAATATAGCTAAGTATTTATTTTTTATTTCAGAAGTAGGTTATCTGTTAACCTAGTTATTAAACAATACTAAAGCAGTCCAAATAGGGCTATATAACTATATTAAATTAATTTATATATCAAGTTAAGACTTATAATAAATAGTTTCAATAAGTACCTAGGTACATAATATCCATTTAGAATTATGAATACTAGTAAATCAAAGTCTAATAAGGGTTCACGTATGTCTACAAGAGATTCTTACACTGAGGAGGACATAAGAAAGGCAATTGAAGAAGTAAAAAGGTAATAAAATTAGCATGCATTAATAGACATAATTTCAATGCTTAAATTGCTTATTGTGTAGTCATAATAGCCTAATGCCTATAATACATTTAAAAGAAATACATAGGGTAGGGCTGCCTAGTACTGATAAAGTAGTTGCATACCTAAATTATACTGTGCTATATTTCAGTGGTGAAAGAACTGCTTCAGAGGCATCCAAGTTGTACAATATCCCGCGCACCACATTGAGGGACAAAATAAGTGGTAAAGCGCCTGTTGTAAAAAAGAGCTGCTAAGGGTTCTAAAAATGTACCGTATGCGACATCTTCAAAAGAAAAGGAAAGAATCACTGTTTTAGGTACAATTTTATTTTATTCTTTGCTCATTTTTATGTTATTTCTGTAATGCTTTTCTTTTAATGCTGCACTATAAATGGCTTTTTTTTCAACATATCTCTGAGCATGATAGCTTAGCATGATACTAGCTTGGCCTGCTTGCTAACTTTTGGTTTTTTTGCACTTTTCTTTGCAGCTAACGTTGGTGCCGATGGCTCTCTCCCTCCACCGCTTATAATTTATCCTAACCTTCGTATTCCTATGAATGTATACGAAGCCATTCCATCCAGTTTATTTGCAATCGGAAAAAGTGAATCGGGATATATTAACCATCAGGTGCTTTATGAGTATCTCACTAATGCATTTGACCAATGGTTAACTCAACATAATATACAAAGACCAGTTATAGTTTGGTCCGACAAACATGAATCGAGGCTGCAATTTCATTTAGTTAAAATCTTAGCAGACCTGCAAATAATGCTTATATTAATCCCACCAAACTGTACCCATTTCATGCAGCCTTTGGACGTAGGATTGTTTGGCCCTATGAAAAATGAATGGGCTAAGTGTGTGAATAGGTTCAGGGCTGCCAACCCAAATGAATACGTTACCAAAGAGTCCTTTGCAGGAATGTTCCTGCCAGTGTACACAAGGGTCATGAGTAGAGAGAAAATAGTAAAATCCTTTAAAAAATGTGGCATACAGCCATTTGATCAAGACGCTCCTGATTATACCAAGCTCACTCTTGAAGAAGCCCACTCCGGAGACAGTCGAATATTTGAAGGAGTGCTTCAAGACGGTCGTGTTGAAGCTTCCACTCAAGTTGAAAATTTTTTTCATGTCAATGTTGCGACACAGACATCCTCTGACATCATCTTGTCTGGTAACACAAGTACTAGCACGATGGAAGGACTGGGAGCAGGCCCAAACATTCACCTATAAGTGATAGCTAGGTATTAGTGTCTAACATTTGTATCAATATAAAATAATAAGCCCAGCTAGCTAGTTAGTAGCTATTATAAACCAATTTTTATTTATAGCTATTACAGGGTAATAAAAGTTAGTAACAATTATAAACTAATTTTTATCTATATTACAGGGTAATAAAGGTTAGTAACTATTATAAAACAATTCTTATTTATATTACAGGATAAAAAAATCATTTGATGACTTTGTCATCGATTCGCCACGATTTGATTCACTCAGAATGGTGAAGAGGCAAAATTGGTTCCAATATGTCTTTGATCGAAATCATCGGCAAGAGGATGCACCAGCTGTTGATTCCCTTGTTGTTTCCCCTGTTCATTCACCTAGTATTCATTCTAGTTCAGATGCACAGTGTTCCTCAATGTCAGCCCCTCCAAACAGGAGGCCTATGTTGGTAGAACCTCAAAGACAAGCAAGACCACCTGCGATTAGTCCTGCTCTTAAAAATCATAAGTGGTTCCCTTCTCCAAAAAAAGCTATCGGTTAATGTATTAACTAGGCTACCTATATTTTAAATTTATTATTATAATTTCCATTTTTAATCTCTGTAAAATTACCACATGTAGCCTATGGTCATAAATTTACTTTATTATAACCTGATTATTATTTTAATTTTCATAGGAAAGGTTCGTACAGTGGCTCAAGAACTTCATGCCACATCTGTAGTGACTTCAGATAAAGTTGTCTCGATGCTAGAAGGTATTAGGCTTGAAAAAAAACAACAAGAACAAGCAAAAGAGGAGAGAAAAACGAAGCGCTTAGTTGCTGAATTAGCTAAACGCAACAAGCCAAGTGTTCCAGCTAAAAGAAAGTTGCTGCCAGCAACAAAAATGGCAAAGAAGAAACCAAAAAAATTTTCCATTACATAAAAAAATTATTCAACAATTATTTAAATATATTTTTAATACCAAATAACTAGATAAAAGAACTCATTTTTTAAAAAGTCTGAGGGTGGCGAACACTGGAACAGGTTCAAAAAATTGCCTGGCGAACACGGGGACCGTTCCAGTGTCCGCCACTTTCAACTTTCGGGGGCTATAGCCCCCTTATTAATTATCGGAGGTCATTCGTTCTAATTAAAGCGTATAGCCCAACTATCCATCTGTACGATAAATATTTAAGATCAATCATTTATTGAAAAACGAGTGAGAAAAAAATATTTTAGTGGGGCAGGGTAGAAAAAAGTCGCGAATACTGGGTGTTTTACCCTATGTGTCAATATATTTTTTTATTATATATATTTTTTATTCATTGAGTACCACAAGAAAACACCTAAATCAGAATGAATAAGTTGTTTTGAGACTTATTGATATGAACAGTACTACTACAAGACTTAATATATATAGATTTTTATCAGAAATTTAAACATCTATTTTTACTAATTACTAATGATACATTTTAAAAAACTATGCATATGTCACAATCTGGGCATAGAATGATAATTCATGGTGTTTCTTTTATAAGGTATTTTAAGTATCTTCCAATAGGTTCATAAGACAAAATAGATGAAAAAAAAGTGAAGGCAAAACAGTTTAAAAAAGCTGACAGTTCTTCTGGTTAAACAGTTAATTAACAGTTTTAATTATTTTTGCTTTTTTTTTTTTGGTAAAGAAATCTCAGCATAGTTTTTAATAACAATTCAAAGTTTTGTTTTTTGTTAAAAAAATAATTTAATAACTATTTATGTTAAAATGTTATACTGATGAGCTGCTCTGCGTTTAATTTTTTAAAAATGGCTAATTTCATATACACAAGTTATAAAAAACATTTATTAGAATAAAACGTTGAGGAACTTTGTAAGAAACCAAAGAATGAAGAATCAGATGATAGCAGATTTGTTTATTATATTTAATGATATTGTTTTTTATTAAATCGTGCTTTTGGTATAGTTGATAGAATTCTGTAAAATATCGGCGCTTACTGTTTTTTTAATAAAATTATCCAGACTTATGTAGTTTACCTGATTTGACTGGAAATAGTCCGGATGAACTGGAAAAAAAAATTACAATAATATTTTTCTTTTAAATATAGAAATATAAACAAAAATTCAATATCTTGTGAAAAAATCAATTTAATATGTTGAGTGATTCTTTAATTATGTCTATTTCCTCATATTGTATTAGAGCGACGCATAGTGGGATATACTAAAAAAATAAATTCTAGAAAACGCCTATTTCTTATTTTAAAAATGTCTTATTGAAACTATTAGCTCTTGTAATGTCTAACAATGGAGTTTACCAGGCAGCAGATATTTCTATAAAAAATTCTTATTCGCCCTAATATGTAGGGGAACATGGGGCAAGATGACGAACGTTTTGAAAAATACTTATATCTTAGACAACAACTGTTCCAATAAGTAAAACTTTATCAAGAAGTGATAACAAATTATTATTCGCCACAATTGTATCAAAAAAAACCTTATACAAATTAAAAATAGCTGGAGAAAAACTCATTAACATAAGTCACCTCGAATAGTCAGATGGCGACTACAAAAAAAGTTAACTCCATGATACTGTTACCGCCTCAAAAAAAGAGCAATATAAATCTTAGTTAATAAAATTATTAATACAAAGGGTGATTTAATTTTCAAAACAATTTAATTATATATTTATATATAGCTATGCAAAAATAGCACCCTACTAATTAGTTAATAGCGAAATCAAACCCAACAAAATAAAGCAAAATACTTTAACGAATAATAAAATAATGTAAAGACAAAAATAATGACTAAGCTACACAAGAGTAACATACAACACACATAAATTTGCGTTCAACATACTGGCCACAAGTTAAATGATTACAGGATTTACACATATCCCAGTCATCATCAAGCAATGGATCGTTAGGATCACCATAGATAATTTCACAATACCAACATGAAATTTCTTGAGTTTCACAAACTTTGTTAGATATTTTTATCACTCTTTTTTTTGCCTTTGTCATTCTTTTTTTTTTCTATCTTTATTTTCAGCTGTTATTTTAAGTTGATCCTTCTTTTCTTCAAATCTTGCTTTATCAATTTTTCTTGTTTCTTGAGTGTAGCTAATTGAACAGCAGCTTTAAAAGGCGAACTTGTTGCCACCTCGGCTCGCTTACATTTTCTCTTACGGCTAGCATTATTTGTAACTCTAGAAGCAATAGGATAAGGCCGAATATTCTCAGATGATACAGGCACTTGGTTCAAATCTATTTGGGTTCTATCAACATTTATATCTAAGTTCGACTGAATGCATTTTGGTTCACTATTAGCATTTGGTAACAATGAATAGTCATTATTATTAAACAATACAGTTAATTCTGTTGCATTAATTACAGGCTTTAATGTTGACTGTTGATTTTCAACTAAAAAACAATATATGATAAAATTATAAAATTAATAAGGTTAATTAAATTAAAGTTATTTAATATTCTATTATTTAACATAATTCTAATATACTATAAATAAGCTGAAGTTATTAGCTTATTTAAATGATAAAGATACAAATTGTTGGGTTAAAGTTTGTAAATAAAAACAAACTTTTGGTTTTAAAAAACAAAAAATTCAACTGTCAAAAATAATATATAATTTACATACTCATTCCTGGTTGATTATTGGATATTTTCTGATAAGTTAGTGTTGTGCAATCACTTGTCATTGATGGTGCAAAGTCAGTCAAAGAAAAGATCTGTGGATTGAAGGGCCAGATTCCAGTTTCTTGAAATCCTTTTCTTGCAATACCAGTTGTTGCTGATCTGTCATATGCATGTCTTACAAGTGCAGGAACCTGTGCTTCAGTGATAGGTCTACCTGGATGATTTACCATCCAGTTATCACATGCTTGACTATAGTATGTTTTGAATGGAGAAAAAAAGGTAACATCCAGAGGCTGCATCATATGGGTGGAATGTGGTGGCAATGTTAGCATTACAATTGAATGTTTTCTGCAAAATTCAATGGCTGAAAAACTTATGTGCGAGTTATGATTATCCACAATCAACAAAACAGGATCAGCAATGGTTAGTTTTGTATGATAGGCAAAGTGTTCTAAATAATCTAAAAAAATTTCCTGTGTCATCCAACCAGACTTATGGGCAAATCCAACTGAGTCAGGTGGAGAGTTGTCCATGAAATCATTTCGCATATTTTTTTGCGGAAAATTAAAAGCAGGAGGTATATAAATTCCAACAGCATTCATGCTACAAACTATGGTTACAGTTTTTCCTCTTTCAGCAGTAACAACTTCGCCTACTCTTTTAATGCCTTTAATCGAAAATGCTTTAAAGGAGTTAAAGCCTTGAATTCTACCCAAAGATGTCATCTCGGGAGTTCGCAAAGAAATATTTTTGTGGCGTTTTAAAAATCACCAGTCAATACCAGCTATTTTCAATTCTTTGTTAAAATTATGTGGAACATTATTAAATTCGGCAAATTCGAATGCAAATTTTCTGAGCTGCACTGAGGTCATGCCTAAAAAGCTTTTGCTTAACTCAATTAAATACTCTGCAAGTAATTTTTCCATTTCAATTGAAAATATAGGACGAAACCTTCCATTGTTTATCGGAAACTGATCAGAAGACTTTTTTATATAACGCCTCAGTGTTGCTTCAGGAATTCCAAAATTTACAGCAGCTTTGTTTATGCTACAAGCATTGGAATTGTAAGCTTCAATAGCATGACACATATTCTGCATTGTCCAATTACCATTTACACCTCTGCTAGTAGTTCGGATATATTTGCGAACCCTTTTAATAACTAGAAACAACACAATAGTATTTAATAGCCTTATCAATGTATAAAAATAACATACAAATATGTATAACATATATATATATATATATATATTATATATATATATATATATATATATATATATATATATATATATATATATATATACATATACAACTATATATATTTATAAAATAAATATAGATAACATGATTAGGGTTAATAAATTTATGTTTATATTTAATGTTCATTGTATATGTATATACATATATTATACATAAAAATATATTTAAATGCATATATAAATATAAATATATATATATAATATATATATATATATATATATATATATATATATATATATATATATATATATATATATATATATATATAATATATATATATATATATATATATATATATATATATATATATATATATATATATATATATATATAATAATAATAACAATAATAATAATAAAAAATATAACAAATAGATATAGTATATCTTTTTTAATCATATAAGCATAACTAAACTAGACATTCTTAAATAATATTTTATTCACAATATAACAACAACTCAATTTATTTTCAAGAAGCTTTAATTATCATTCTAAGTTATTTTATTGAACTCTCTGTAAGTTTAGTAGCGGCTATGCAACGTTCAACAGCTTATAGTAAATTATCGACTTTTACAAAACGACAAATAAATCATCTTGCCCCGTTCATCTTGCCCCCCAAGATACACAATCTTTAAAATGATTCAGAAACATACATAAACAAGTTATCATAGCTCAATAATACTTCTATGGGTTCTAAATTAAATAAACTAAATGTAAAACTCTCGCTGAACTTTAGATGGCGATGTAATTATGCAATAAATCAAATACAAGTGAATTTTTTTTTTTTTCCGAACACCGGAAAAACTTTTTTAATACTTATCTTTTTTTCTATAAATAATATTTAAAAAGAAAGCATAAATAAATTTAGCATATATAATCTACTTATATCTTAGCTACAGTCAGCTTTTATATATAGCCAAGGTTTGAAGATAACGGTAAGTTTTCATCTTGCCCCATTCGTCATCTTACCCCAAGTTCCCCTAATACTGACGTAATATATTTGCTGATTCTTATATCGATGATTTCAAGAAATTCTATTGGTCATTTTTAAAAAACACAAACAACAAAAAATAGTTTGTAAGCCCCACCATATGTTTGAGTTTTCAACCCCAAAATTTGAAAAAAAAAAATTTATGTTATGAAATCCTCCATTTTTTTTCACCATCTTCTATAAATATATCGTATTTACATTATTTTACAGGAAAAGGCTTACGCTAGAAAAATCTTATACAAGTTTATAAAATTTCTATAAGTAAACGAATGTTTATAAAAATACGTTATCTAAAATTCACTTAGAATTTCCGAATAGGAGACTAACCAATCATATCCCCAAAAAGCTTTAGCTATATTTTTGATAAAACAAATGGCGAGACGAAAATGTTTGTTCTTATTAACGTTGGTTCGATATGTGCACATAAGATATTAAACTGTGTTGCATTTTACGCTGTTAACAATTTTCTCGATGTCTTTTGTATATTGATGACATTTTATTTCACGTGCTTCGGGCCTTTGTTCTTGGTCGGAGGCTGTAAGCAATTGAACTAACTTTCCCTACATAAAAATTGATAAATTAAGAAACATTTTACAATAGATGAGAATTAACGCTTTTAAAATAGAGATTACCTGAGAGGTACACTGAAGGGCTGGTGGTAATATGTTTTTTTTAAGCTGATATATAGTCTAAAATTAAAATTTAAAGTGATATATTATCAACCGATTATAGAAATCAATAATGAAAAAATATTGTGGTTACCTGTATGCGTTCCATTTGAGTTGAAAAAGAACACAGAAGTTCAAAAAAAATGAGCCCCAGAGAATGGATATCCACTTTATGATTGTAAGGCCTTCCGCAAACTTGTTCTGGACTCATATATAGCTGCGTGCCCACTTGCCCAGTGTGATTCTCATCTGCATAAAATTTACCTTTGTCTAAAAAAAATGAAATATTTTAATAAATTAATTCAATAGAATCACGGTAAAATATGTTAACCTGTAAATTTTAACTGTAAAATAAAAGTTATACAAAATATAAGTTTTTAACATGTATTATCTAATTTTACTAAAAACTTTAACACTTAATAAATATTTATTTTTTCTAAAAATTTTCAATTCCCTCTAAAAATATACCAAATGGAAGTAATCAGAAAAAATGATGCAATACTTACGTATGCCATCTGATGGCCTTGTTATAGCTGTTACTAATCCAAAATCACCAACTTTCACTGATCCATCCAATGAAAAGAAAATATTTGCAGGCTAAAGAAAAGTAAATTTAAACATATTTAAAAAAAGTATAATAATTTATTTAAAATCGTACATTTACTTAAAATCGTAAAGATTACTTTCAAATCTCGATGCATCAATCCTAGTCGATGAAAATATTCTACTGCATCTACAATCTAAAATGAAAAAAAAAAAAAAAGAGTAAAATTAACAAAACTTATTACAAAATAAAATAAAAATTAAAAAAAAAGCAACCTGCATAAATATATCAAATGCTTGTGACAATGTGATAGCCCCTGATTTTTCACTTAACCAGTCTTTTAGTGTAGCCTGCCTACATAATTGCATCTGTATGTATAAAAACAATGGCGGCTCAGTCAAACATTTAGAAAATTTAGAACAACATTTTCCTAAAATAAAAATTAAATTTTAAATTAGCTTAAAAATAATTGAAATAAAAAATAAAAAAAGATTTAAATAAAATTACCAACAACTTTTTTTTTATCTTTTTCTTTGGACCTAACGGAGCGCTCATCACCTGAAGGATCTTTAGATGATGAGGATTTAATTAATTTTGTGTGATGTATATTTACAAATGTTTCTTTACATGTGGTATCAATTACATTGTCACATTCTTCCTGGGTCAGGGTCACATGTCGATGTCGATTGTTTTCTTCAGCGTCACTTTTTTCACTCTCAAAGACAATATCAAAACTATCTTCTGTATTATTCGGATCATCTTCATCTTCATCAACACATGAAGATGCAGAAGAATTATCAGTGGAAAAAACTTTGTTTTCAGAAATCCCACTGCAATCTAGTTCATCAGAGGATAGTTCTGTACCTTGGTCAAATTTACAATTTTTATTGAGTGGATCATTTAGTAAACAATCGTTCTTTCGAGAGCTTTTTATTATTCTTTCTGCAGCGTCATTATCTAAAGCAATGCTGTAAAAAATGAAACAAACATACCACAAATTTATTCATAACATAAATTTATAATAAGACACTAATGTCCTTCAAATATATATATTGTATTATTTTAATACGTGTTAAGTGTTCTTTAACTTATGGAAAGTGCAAACACTAACCCGTCAGGCTTATAAACCAAATATAGACTATAGCTATACCGACTATAAAGATTGACAAAATGAGATACATTATTAGTCAACATTTTTACTTGGTTTAAGGTTTTTTTAATGTTAATTCACCTCTTCAAGGCTGAATGCTAATGTTAATTTACCTCCCCAAGGCTGAATGTTAATATTAATTCACCTCTCCACGGCTAAATGTTAAAGTTAATTTTCAAGGCCGAATAGGTAGTTGGCATCTACATTTTTATCTTAATATTATTGAGTTAATTTTCTGTTTAATGTGTTTATTGAAGTTCTCAAAAAACGGAAAATAATGATTAAAATATAATCAAAAACAAGAATTTAATGATGATGATTAAAGTTTTAGTAAGTTAAAAAAAGAAAATTTTTTGTCATATAAGTTACATATCTATAATTGATTGTTTACAGGTCAGAAATTGACCTTTTAGGTTTAATTTTGGAACACCCCAAATATTTTTACAGATTATATTTAAGAAACCTTTAGGTTACACAAAACTGTAAAAAATAAAATCCTGCAGGTTGCACATTTTTTGGAAAAGGCATTTAAAGGGCGGGTCTATAAAATTATCATGTTCAAGTGAAGAAACGTCCAGAAATGCTGCAAACCTTAAATTTTTACATACTAATACTAATATCAAATAATGATGTTATGCTAAAAAAAAAAAAAAAAAAATTTGGGAACATAGAAAATACAACGCTTTCAGGGCACCGACCTCAAATATGGCAAATGAAAAAATTTGAAAAATATTTTTGTACTATCTTATATTAAATGAAATTTTATTCAAAAAATTTAAATTTTAAAAATATATGTTACAATTCAAAAGTTATGACCAAAAAATGTTTTATTGTCCCTTTCCCTTTCAAAAAAATGAGGTTTTAAATTTTACATGACCGTAACTTCTAAAGTACAAAAGATTTTTTTAAGAAACTTGAAACTTTATAATGAATTTTGATTTAGTTTAAGAAATTACAGAAATATTTTTCAAACACACATGTCCCCCTGATCAGGACAGGTGGCCTCAAATTTTTGGGTTTTTTGTTCTCAGACTTTAATTACAGTTATTTTTTGGACACATCTGTCTTTTTATAACCATGTGATATGACTTTAAATACAAAAGATTTTCGTCTTTAAAATCCCTGAATATCATAAGCCCATTTATTGTTAATAAAAATTTTTTGTTTAGTTTCACTTTTTTGGACACATTTGTCTTTTTGACACTAGTATTTTTATATAAAAGAGTATAGTTTATGATATAACATTAGCTTAACTTCATTAAATACCATTTATTAGTTGTTTATAGTTATTTAAAGGTATTTTGATGATTAATTAGAATTAAACAAAGTTTGCAATCGATAATTAAATTCTTTTAATTAAAGTTTATAAATTTACTTTTGATAACTATTAAATTTACAGATAGAGTTCAAAATTTAATATAGAAGAAAGGAGATTTAAGTTTAAAAGATCTCATAAATTGAACAGACTTTTTGCATGTGCTTGTTGCTTTACTAAAAACACAAAGTTTCCATTTACAGAAAAGTTTGGAAAAGCTCGTTGTAAAGCATTGATATAATCAGGAGCAACTGCCTTACTTAACTTTACCATTTTAAAAGCTTTATCAAATTCATCAAAAGATAATTCAAAAGAATTTAGATAAGATACTAAAGGAAAACTACATCTGCTTATTTTTTTGTAAATCATTGAAATTTCTTTTGCTAAATTTGGTAACTGAAGTAAAGAGTTCATTAATTTTATTAGCTACCACTCTTGGATCATTAATTATTTTAACATCAATTTTAATAACTTTAGGTAAAAGCTAAGATAGTAAAGGTAAGAGCTAGCTTTAAATTTCTTATTACCTGTAACTTCCCTTAAAACTTGTCATGTTTGCTTTGAATTGTTTTTATACTTTTCTAGTAAATTTATGTTGAATATTTTAAATTTTCTCTTTGGATTTCAAATTTTTTAGCTTAATTCTTATAAATTGTCTTACTTTCTAATTCTCATTTTTTTTTTCAACATTTTTACTTCCAACAAGATTGCAAGCAACCACTATTAGAGTTGGAAGTTACTGGAAGCAACCTTAGCAGATGTTAATTTTGCAATGGATTTGATATATGGTTTTCAAAAGAGATTGTAAGAGTTAATCCTAGAAGATTAAGGATAGATGACTCATAGAGTACATTACCATTCATAAATATAGGAAGATCTACACTTTTGCAATAACAATTAGCTGAAAATTTTTTTTTTAGTTTTATCTGAGTTAAAGTTCACCAGCCACTGAGAGCCCCATGCATGTTTTTGTATCAACAACAAAAAGTAGCAATTTCTATTTTAGCTTAATGTTCCAGATACAAGCATTAGAGCTCATAAAGCATGAGTCAATTTTAAGCTAATAAAAAGCAACAAACCCAGGGAAAATTTTATGACAGTTGCAAAATGGTGGATTAAATACCAGAAAAAATTTTCTGCAAAAAGTGTAAAATTCTTTAGGAACAAGCTTGATAAATATATGAATATTTTGAAACTCTGATTTCTATGGATATTATGAAACTTTTCATAATAGATTTAACATAGCATTAAATCTCAAGGAGCATAATAAATAAGTTAATAAATAATCATTTTTTTTTTTGTAAAAATGTATATTTTAAATACTTTACTATTTTTGCTTAATTTTAGAACATTTCCTGGGATCTTTTGTAATCCATGGTGACATAAAATCATTATTTTTTTAAAAATATTTTATATTTAGGAAAATTAATATTGTAAATTTAAAAAAATATTTTTAAAAGCAAATTATAAGCTAAATCAGCATCATTAGAATGTGTTTCCAATCACGTAAAGATAATTGCTCTTTAAAAGCATTGTAATTTGCTTACATAAAAAAACATTTAATGAAAGGTTTATTGTAATGTATAACTTTTTTTGATATCTGTGTTTATGGAGGAAAAAATTAAAAAAGTGATGAGACGCCATATTTTATAATACCATTTTTTAAAGATAAGTTAAAAACATCAGTTGTAATTATATTGTCTAATATAGAAGCTGATGTTGATGATATTCTGGTAGGCATATTTATTCACAGTATTGTTCTAATTTTAAAAACGTCATTGTAAAATATTTTAATGCTTTTACTAGTGTGGTATTCAAAACAATTTATATTAAAATCACCAATTATGTAGTTTAATTTCTTTTCATGGAAACTTTTTAAATTATATTATTATGTAAAATGCATTAAAATTCTCAATTAAGCTATTTGGTGGTCACTAATAACAAATAACAACAAATAATAACGTACTTACAAGGGGTTGTAAATACGTCAAGCTAAATTTATCTTTGAATAGAAGTATAACCTTTGTTCTCTTGCGCAGAGATTTTATTCAACATAAAGCGCTTTTGAATTCAAATTTCTTTAAATCTCTGTGGAAGCCAATATTGTTTTAAAGCTATATTTAGTCTGATTTATTTTTTAGTTTGATTTTACTGAATGAATAAAGTACATCACAGCAAATTTTCATTTAAATTAAATCAAAACAACCAGTTAAGTTACCATAGTAACTTACAGTTACTCAACTATTAAATTTATTTAATATATTCAAAGACTCCTAAAAATTAACCATGTGAATATTTTCATTTATATCTTATATGTTGTTAAAACATAATAAAAGCTTCTAACTAAAAATTATTTTAACAAGAAATATTGAATAGAATATAAAAAACACAATACCATTTTTAGGTATTGCGTTTTTTATATTCTATTCTATTCATAGGTCAAACATTTTCTATAAGTTACGCAATTTGTTTTTAGGAATTTTATCTAAAAAGAAATATATTAAAACAAAAGAATTTATCTATTGGAAAAATCTATTGGAACAAAAATATTAGTCATCTAAAATTCTTTTATTCAAATTATCTTGCGAGTGAAATTTGAAATTGAAAAAAAATTGGAAAAATTTAAAAGAATTTTAACTCTCAATAATTATAAATTTAATTCAGCGGCATCCGTAATACCCAGTATAGCTTGAATTGCTGCTGAAAGTTAAACGTGCATCTAGATACAGTAACATCAAATTTAGAACATAGTGCAAGTGAGCAAAAAAGTTAAAATTGTAAACGTTTTGAATAGTAAATTATATTTTGTTTCTTTAAAACAGTTTTAATAGTAGAAACATTCTATTGCAAACATTAAACCAATGATTGGAAAAGATAAAACAAAAATTAAATTATAAAAAATTTAAATTAAAATTAATTAAGAATTTTTTTTCTAAAAAAATTAATTTAGGCATATTCCTAAACTTAAGGAAATAAAATTCGATTTTTTAAACAAATTTTTTTGTTTCACTTTTTTTTGGCACAACCATTAGAATGAAAAAATTTAATTATATTTAAGTTTTTAATACCCTAGATCGAGAAAAAATAAATATATATATATATTTCCATTATTATATATATATATTTATATATATATATAAAAATAAATATATATATAAATATATATATATATAATAATGGAGCAGCCAAGACTTTTTCCTAGAACAGGCCCTATATATATATATATATATATATATATATATATATATATATATATATATATATATATATATATATATATATATATATATATATATATATATATACATATATATATATATATATATATATATATATATATATATATATATATATATATATATATATATATATATATATACATTTTAAAAAACTTCTTTTTATGGTTTAATATCTATTTGTTGAAAATATATTTATTTTTATGATATTTTGAGGGAATATTGATACCCTTGTTATCAAGTATATTAAAAACCG